AGCTGAGCCTCTGCAGGTTGGGGACCTGAATGAGTCCTAGATGTGCCCCACCCAGGGACACCCAGTGAACTGCACTCACCTGGTGCTCACTTGGGGTTATGACTCAGCATCACACATCGACAGCTTTTCCTAACAGGCAGAAGGTGAAGGTTCTTCCACCGCCCTCAAACATGGCAGTCTCCCTTCGTGCGGGGATAATGCCCAGATTCCTCTTCCATGTGGGAAAGACACTGCCATCGCCCTACTTGTGTCTCCCTCATGATAGATTTGCCTTGAATTCTCTGCCTGGACTCTGGCTTTCTTGGGTAACTCTGTGCCAAAACGGGTGGCTCATGCCAGACTTGTGATTAGTATTTCCTAATTCTCAGGGAGAGGAAACCTGATGTAGGGATCTCCAGGCTGCTGTATGTGCACCTTCAACTGTATGTGGTTGAGGGCACTGTGCACGAGGCCACTGTGTGTAATCCCTTCTGAGACAGTCAGGAGAGCACAGGAATAGGGCTGGGGCAGAAAGGTGGAGCCAACACAGGGCTCCTGAAGGTGTCCCCATCACCCAGCTCCTGGACATTCACCTACTGGCTATCAGCCTAGACAGATCCAGGGCAACCACAGTCTTGAAGCTTTTTGCCTCCAAATTTGAACTGGCTAAGAGGCAACGGGCAATGAAAAAGTCAGTGGCAAAAGAAACGAGTCTCACAACCCCTGTGGATTGGAACAGCGGGCCCATGAGCTTCCATGCCACACCCATCTTAACAGCCTTTCCCACAGCTGTAGCAAGTGACAGTCACTCAGAGTGAGCCTACTGTGCCTTGCTGCCCTACCTCTTCAGGCAGTGTGAGTCTGTAACAGGTGGGCCTTAGCTTCCATACACTATAATTTTTACCCAGATGTGGGTTTGTTTATTCTGATCTGGGTAAAAGAAGGGGGTTTGCCAGCAACACGACTTAAACCCACAATTTTAACCCTGTCCCATCAGCAGGTTGTGGTCAAAAAGTTATCAGCAATCAAAGCTCTCACTGCAGGAAGGCAGTCTATGACCATTCTCAGGTTTGCTACCTTTAACACTAACACCTACTCAATCCATCCCTACACCGCCCCCCCCACACACACCGCTGTGTGCCCCAATGAGGCCACTGGAACTTTGAGATTCCATGGTCTCTGTGTTCTTCCGTCTGTATAGCCCTTAGGGACCACAATCCACAAATACGGAGAAGTAAGACCCAGGGAGGCTGTCCAGGGCCCATGGCCTATCATCCCCGGAGGAGACAAAGGTATGTGTCTGGGATGAGATGTAATTCCCAACACCTCCCTCATGCAGCTAACAAGTTGTTTACTTTTCCTCTCTCCCATGGAGAGTTAAGATTCCCATAAAACACAAGTGTTCAGTACGTACACAGTGCATGCTAAGCACCTAACACATGAGGGGGAAACTGAAATTACAGACACTGCTCACAACTCTAACTAGCAGCTATTAATAGGGCCTTGAAAGGGAGGTGTGAAGGCCACACCTAGGCTGGCCCTGTCCTGTGGGACTCGAATGCCAGCCACACTAATCAACCCATGCGCAGGAGAGGAGGAGGAGCGGAGCCCTCCTCCAGTGCTCTGGGTATGGTGCCTGGTTAAACACCATACATATGGGTAGGGCTGTGTCCCCACAAAGATTCATCCTAACCATCACCATTAAGCCAACTGCAGGGGCTCTCAGCTGTAACTCCAACTCTCGGGAGGCTGCCCGGGATGACGGATAGAGTTAAAGACTAATCTGGATGGCATGGTGAGTCTCCACAAACAAACCAAATAAATAAACACATCAACAGCCAAACCCCATGGCGGGTACCTGACGGGACCTTATTTGGAAACAGCCCACAGTTATAGAACCCAAATGAAGACACACTAGACAGGCTGGACCATAAATCAAGCCACTGGTGTTCTCCTGGGATAAAGGAAATGCCAACATGAAGAAGCGAGCTGTGACAACAGCAACGAGATTAGAAGAGGATGTCAATAGCCATGGACGCCTAGACCGTCTGGAGCCAGCCAAAGGTGGGAGACAGCAGAGAGCAGACACCACCAGTCAACACTATCACCACCGAGAGCTTCCTTGTCTCCTAAAGGAACCAAACTTGCCAACTCTGGTGTCAATCATAAATCACAAACACACACATTTACAAACGCACTCACTCATGAAAAAGACCACCTATACACGAATGACACTCTATGAGCTCCGTCCACAGATCACAGAATCCCTGCTGAGATGAACCAGATTGCCCTAAGTCATTAACTAAAAGTAGCATCAAGCATAATGCATAAAAGTGTTTTCTCTGGACTACATCTCCAAGGCTTTCAAGTCAACCTTCTTGTCTCATAGAATAAAACGTCACCTTGTGAGGGGACGCTGAGAAGCATCTGAAGAAAACATTCTGGGATTACTGCCCCAGGAATGTTCAAGAGCGGAGTTCTGTTTTATCCCTCCCGATACCCAAATGTCCCAGGAGCAAGTCAGGATTACAGCAAAGGATATTTACATATGCATTGGACCAGAGGAACAACACACACCACCGTGAACAAGAATGGGGAGGACCCAGTGAGCTGCACAGACTGACAGACACACAGCATGAGGGTGGAAGAGAGGGGGAGCTGCCCAGCAGATTGCTCTAGCATCGGGGCATTTCTGTGGCTAGGACATGGTTTGAGTGTGTCTACAGAGGTTTGTATACAGGAAGCCTGCTTCCCAACCACGGAAGGTGTAGAATCCTTTGACAGGTGGGGAATACTACTCATTAGGGATGCTCCCCTCAGAAGCGATTAATGTAGGCCTGGAAGGATCATGGTTCGTTCCCAGTAAGAAGGGCTGTTGTAAAGAGCAACACTGGCCCCATCCCACTCTCTAGCTTCCTGTCTCACCATGTCCCTGTCATGCACACTCTCTCTGGCTGTGATGCCACCATGAGGCCCTCACCAGACCCCAAACATGGAGCTGGCCAATTGTGGGCATTCAGCCTCTCCAACTGTGAGCTAAAACAAAACCCTGGGGATTTGTTATGGTGACAGAAAATAAAGTGCCACAAAGGACAAATCAAAAGGAACAGCAACACAAAGAAATTGGAGGGTCACACAGCTCACTCCAAACCCAAAGTTTCAGCCAGGTACCATCCACACCCCTCTTCCCATGAGCTGCGCCCTCCCTCCTGGGTGCCAATGAAGGGGAGCTGGAGCTGTCCCTGAAAACTCCCATGACCCACATCACCCAAGACGCTCCACACTCCTGGATAAATACAATGAATCGGATGCCAATCCTACAGCACTGTCCACGCAGCTTCTCAGTTCCAGTTAGCATCGGTAACTGGTTACAGTAACTAATGGGGGAAAGACTGAGACCATCCCCAGCTCTAAGTTCCCTGATGACCTCACAGAAGAATCTTGGGATTGCAGGGCTCATGGCACATTCTTTTGCCTCCTGCTGCTGGTCCAGGACCCATGGATGTGGGGACAGGAAATAGAAAGCAGCTGTCAGATGTTGAGAAGCACAAAGACAATAGCTCTACCTGCTATGTTCAGACAGGAACACATGGGCAGCTCCAGGGAAACAGACCTGCCCAGGCCAAGGGGCTTCCAGGCACACAGAGACCTCCTCATTCACCACAGATGCAGCTGTACACTATTGGGTACACTTGGGCATGATTCTGCTCTAAGCTCCTCCATCACACAGAACAACCTCCCCAGGTCCAGGGTCCACAGCAAGAGGAACAAGTGGGCAGGGTGAGGATGTATGATAGACAGAAAGAGACCCTGAATTCTGTCTCCCAGATCCAGGAGTCCCCAGCTGTGTGTCTGCCAGTGGGATGATATACTCCCACTCTGCAGATGAGAGGAGGGAGGTGTTAGCAGTCAGTGAGGTCATCTCACAAGGTACAGTTTTTACTTCTGATGTGTGAACATTTGAGAAACACTGCTGTGTTGATCAAACAGAAGGTCATATTCTACACTGCAAATAAATCAAGTGGAACACAGGTGTGTTAGGACAGACTGAATGTCCAATGGGAAAATGACAGACATCACAATAATGACCAAATGTAGATGTGGTCCTCCTCTTTCTTTAGAATCATTAACTTCAGCACAATCTACCTTTAAATCCATAGATCCACCCTGAGCCACAGAGTCACAGCAAGAAAACCAGGGGGGGGCTGGCCTGGAACTTACAGCAATCCTCCACCAAAATGCAGGTGTTGGAAGACATTCAAAACAGGGTTGCCTGAAAAGGACATATGCTTGCCTTGCAGTTGGGTTAGCTGCAAACCTTGGTAGCTGGGTTTTACCAACTGCACGACACTGAGTCCTACCACACGGAAGGCCCGAGACAGAAGCACTACAGACTCTAAGTCTACCTAGTCATGCTGGCTGTGGTGACCATTCACACTCAGGCACGGAGAAGAAAGCCTTTGCACAGCCCTGGCCAGGTCTTGGGGTTATGGATACTATCTTCCTCCCTCCTCCACGCTCTGAATTCTGAGTCCCTGGGTCTGTAGTCCCAAGGTCAAGCCTTTGTCCATTTGGTCTCAGGCATAATAAACCTTTGCTTGGTTCCTGTCCTCTTCCCCAATCATCAATCCATGGGGAGAATTTGATGGTGGGTATTTCCCTGATGCGGCAGCCGTGATGCTTACAAAACACGGTTGGAAAATATTGCCGAATGGTGGCAGAGCCCCAAGCAAGCCCCTCAGAATTCTGTTCTTTCTAGATGGTTCCACGGTCTTTAGGACAAGAGTTAAAGGGCTAAAACATGTGTTACAGGGGACACGCGGAGCTACTTAGGACTACTACTCGAAAGACAGCTAAGGGACAAAACAGGGTGAAATGTTGAACTTAAAAGGAAAAGGTGAAATGAAACGAAATAGGATGAGACACAGAACGAGGTGGGAAGGGAACGCTACAGTACGAGGTTGTGCCTCTCCTCTCTCCAGAGCGAGACAAGCACTGCCATGAAGAAAATGTATAGTTACCTGCGTCCATATCTGCAAAGAATGGAACAGCCAGTAAGAAAAAGAAGGAACCAGAAATTCAGTGTCTCAGAGTTGGATTTCAAAAGGTTACATGGGGAGAAAATATAGTTTAGAAAACGGCTTGTGGGCTACACTCTGATTAAGGGAACTATGGGACTTCCTATTACCACTGTCATAATCTTAAAGTAAAAAAAAGAAAGAAAGAAAGAAACAGAACCACAGTAAGACATGGATATGTCAACGGAAGAATCAAAATGTCTAATGGCAAAAGGAATGCCTAACTAACATGCAAAATGATTATTACATGTTTGTAATACAATATAAAGGGAAACATACTCAAACACATAGTGGGGTGTGATCTGGACTGGGTTTAGAAATGCTGGTGTCTGTGACTAAACAGCATTACAAGGTCAGTGTCCAGATCAGAGAGATGTGAGACCCACACTCAAAGGAGCAGCTTTGGACTAAGGTGCAAGAGGACATTCTAAACAGTGGAAATGCACTCAAGGGCATCTCGTGGTTAATGCTCCAAGGGCTGGAGTGCACCAAGGCCCCTATAGGAGGGAACGCATACCTAAGTTTCTTTGCTGCTAGGTGGCTTTCTTATGGCCTTGTCATGGGTCGTCAATGACTTAGAATATGCTAAAGAAACAATGTAAGCCCCAAACTCTAATCTGGTAATGAACCACCTGCTGAACAACATACCTTCTGGAGACTCCTCCTGCACATATGTGCCTGTGAGGTACCGGTGCACCAGCGCAGACTTGCCACTGGCCAAATTACCCACAATTCCCTGCAGGGAAAAAAAGACAACAGTTAGTGATGGTTCAATCATTTATTTAGTTCTTTGCACACAGCAGTTAAAATACATGGTAACCCCACACAGGGTTAGGGTGTCATCATGGCTGGCATTCTTCTGGAAACATCCATGCTGGCTTTTATATGGCACATGTATACCAGATCCACAGGATTAGGAGCCTCCCCAAATACTAAGATGGAAACGTTTCATGGGACACAGTGCCACACAGGGTCATTTGCAGACAGGGCCATATGGTGCCTTCCACCCTAAGAAAGTGAACTTGGGGAAGCTGGAAGCAGGAGTACCTGGGATGGGTAAGGGCACATAGACAGACAGCAAGCCTGCCTCTCGGAAATACATAACCACGAGAAAAGCAAAAGTCAGACTGTGGCAGGGACAGCCAAGGTGATCAGAGCTGTGGGAAGTAACAGGAGAGGGAAGGGTGGCGTGAGTGCCGCTGTCCAGCAGCAGCCAGGGAGGCAAGACTGACACCTGTGCTCTGCTGAGGGGACACCTGGCCTGTGCTGGGGCCCTGCACTTCTCCCTCCCTCCAGCAACCTTGTCTATTCTAATCTTTGCTCGGCGACCATGCATCAATCCCACGTTCTTCCCTGAGGTCCTAGCTGCCCCGGCCCATTGGTCTGTGCGACTATCCCCAAACCCAAAGGCTGCCCCTGCCCTCTAACCAAGCTTGCAGCCCTCTGCCATCCAGCCTCCTACTTCCTGGCTTTGTCTCCTATGTTCACAAGCTACCAATCTCATCTCTACAGGCTTTGCTGTCTCCAGGTGACCAGAACTTTCCACGCTGATCAATCAGAGCCCCAAATCCTACTCCAGCTCAGGACTGGTAGCCAGTTCAGACATCACAACCTCTGAGGACCAATTCTATTAGTTTCTGATTAGTGTCCCCCAGGCCCCAGGAGATGCATTGGGGGTGGGACCTCTGAGAGGAGGCAGGTGACCTGGACACTATCCATACAGCAATCAGCATACATTTGAGTGTGGCCCAGTAGGCAGGAGAGGGGAGAGAACATCCCACCTGTCATCTATAGGGCAGATAACCCCTAGATCCTCAGCAGTCACCAAATCTCAGGAGACTTCCAAGAGCTACAGAGATTTGACTGTTCCCAAGCCACCATGCCATCTCTTGTCACAGCAGCCTGGATGGAGGAGGACACTTTCATGTCACAGCCTCACCTGGGACCAGCAAGACGCCCTGCTGCTACACTACAGCACAGCACAGCCTTTAATGTGACTCGCCTCTCCTCATAGGAAGGGACTGTGTCCTGCTCATCTTGTTCTCTGCCCTGCCAAGGCATCCAGCTCAAGGGAGAGGCACAGCCCCCATGGCATCAGCGTGTGAATGGCTGAGGAATGACTAACACCAGAATATAAATGAGCTCTTCTACCACTGAGAGCTGGGCTGAGGGCCAGAGCATGTGGACGACTCCTGCACAAAGCTGACCCCCTCCAAGTCCAACCTGCACCTTCCTACCTTGAGCCCCCACAGTTTGGAGAATCTGCCTATTAATTATTCTCTTGCTCAAGGGCACCTGCTGTTTGCCAGCCTCAGGCTGAGAAAATCCAAGCCAGTGTGCCACAGAAATGAAATGTTTAATTAAGATCACTTTCTCTTCCTGGAGGAAGAAACCCAGCACTGTGCAGCTGGGCTTTCTCTGTCTGGCAACACCAGCTACTCTTTTCTGCAACAAGGGAGAAAGGTATCCCTGATCAGGACACGCCCTACTCTGGGCTGGGGACGGAGGTTGCTTGGCTTGGATACCCATCTCCCAGATTGTGAGCGCCGTTGTTTTAACTTGAAACACTGGCAGAAACTACTGTCTGTTAGGATGTGGCCCTCCTGTGAAACTGGCAACTGCTCCTTCCTGAATGTCACCTGCAGAGGAGGAAATAACTCGGCCTGAGCCAAAGGGCTTCATGGGCAGAAAGGAGGCGCCCTGATAATGACAGCTGGGTACATCAGATAGGCGCTATCACCCCGCCTCACCTGTGCAAGCATCAGTTAGGGCTGTGCCCCATCTGTCTACCAGAAGACGCTAAGCACAGCACCTGGGTAACCTCAATTCACTAACGCCCTGTGTTTTCCACTCAACCACCAAACACAGATCTACTGCAAAACAAATGGAGCCCTCTGCAGCTCAGGGGCTGCAGAGACGGCTCAGTGGTTAAGCGCACGGGCTGCTCTTCCAGAGGACCCAGATTCAATTCCTAGCATCCACACGGCAGCTCACAACTGTCCATGACTCAGGTTCCAGGTTATCTGACACCATCACACAGACATACATACAGGCAAAACATTAATGTACACAAAATACAAATAAAGACATTACTAAAAAGAAAACCCAGCTGAGAGTATAAGCGAAATAGATAGTGGCACCTCTGCAGGCAATGTTTGTCCACTGCTTCCACCCAGGCAGAGGCACGGCACCTACGCAGCCTGGCATGAATCTGCAGTGCTGAAAGCAACTACAGCCCAGCTTCCAAGAGCCCCAGGCAGAGGCCCACCACTCTCAAAAGGAGCAACAGTGAACTATATGTCCTGGCAATTCAAAAAAACTCGCTGAAAACCACTCCATAAAAGGTCTATTGGGAGACTCAGTGACATCATTCCATGGCTACATTTCCAAGCAGGGCTGAGGGTCCCAAGGCGATGACCTAAAGGGCCACCAGTCTCGGGTGCTGCATGGGGCCAAAAACAATAACTGCCCTGTGGGCATGGGAAGGGAAATGCTTCACACAACAAAGGGGTGTTTCTCCAGACCTGGGCATCCTCATCACACAAGGACAGGCTGAGGCGCCTTTGACAACGAGGTGTCTGCTGATGCCACCACGAGAGGGCGCACATGACGGCAGAGCTCATGGCCCCTCTCAAATCGCAGAGGAGCCCGACTACAAAACAAGTCAAGGCAGTGAGCTCAGGGCAACCGGGCTTTACAAGAACCCTACACTGTCTCTTTAAATGTCAATACCTGCTAGACGTGCCAAATGCTTATGGCAGAAAGTCACATAGCGGAAAAGTTTTTGGGAGTGCTCATCCTCATTACTGACTGATAAGAATACGTGGACCAGACCAGGCATACTGGAACAAGCCTGTTTAATTCTAGTACTTGGGAGTCTGAGCCAGGAAGACAGTAAATTAAAAGCCAGCCTGGACAACATAGTGTGTTCCACAGCAGCCAAGTACATAAGTAAGATGCTGTCTGAAAAAGCCCAAACCAGCCAAACAAAAACCACTCAGGCCCTGAAACCTGCAACACCTCTAAGTGCAGGCAGGCTCTTGGGAAGATAATCCCCGATAACACCTGGTTCCCAGCCATCTATTGTGCTGCCAGGAGGTTGAAGCACCCCACCCCACCCCGGTGCTGTACTGACTTAAATGGACACCTGGAGGCAGAAGCTATGGCAACAGAGGGGACAGATACGCAGACGGCTCCCCAAAGCGGTGCTGGTTTCGAATCCCAGCTCTACCCTACTAGAGATGACTTCTCGGGAAGCTCTTCATCTGTGACACAAGTTGACAACAGGACCTGCCCCTCCTGAGTAATTAGCAGGACTGAAGGCAGTAATTATACGGAACCCGCAGGCAGAGCCCGCCCAGGAGTGCATGTTTCATAAGCATCTTGTGGAAACACCCTGGCCTTGCTGTTTGTCACTGACTGTGGAACCAGAGGGGTTAGCACCTAGGTTTCCTACCAGGAGTATCTAGAACTCACCAATCTTTATGAAAAGGCCCGGTTCATGGCATTGGTGCCCTCTGCCATTCAGTCATCAGGTATTTCTAGAACACTCTAATACTGTACAAAGTTATGGTAGCTATGAAACAGAAGACAGACAAGGCAGCTATTTCAGGACTAGTGTTGCAGGACCCCAGAGGCTAGGAGCAGGGCTGTCTCTCATAAATGAACAACCCCAAGAGTTGGCGCTGCTGAGACACACCAGTGTCTCACTCAGGTGTGAGACATAAAAGTCCTTATCCCGGGGCTGGAGAGATGGCTCAGTGGTTAAGAGCACTGACTGTTCTTCCAAAGGTCCTGAGTTCAATTCCCAGCAACCACATGGTGGCTCACAACCACCTTGAACGAGCTCTGATGCCCTCTGCTGGCATGCAGGCAGAAGATTGTATACATAATAAATAAATAAAATATTGAAATGCCAGAAATCCCCCCTCCTTTAAAATGAAAGTCCTTATCCCATCCTCTCTGTATCACTGAGGCTGGGGCAACAGGAAGGAGGAATGGGGCGGGGCTGGAGGTTCAGGCCGATCAGGGGTGTAGGAGAAAGAGTGAACAAAATGGGAAGATGCACAGTGAGTGGGCAGCACACAATAGGTCCTCCACCACCTGAAGCTTGCTAAGGGCAGGGGCTCATCTGTGTTCAAGCAGGAAAGTTATAGAGGAGGGAGGGAGGGGGGACGGAAGGAGGGAGGGAGGGAGGGAGGGAGGGGGAGGGAAAGCCAAGAGCCCCACATCTCATGATGAAGAACACATGTAAAATGTGTGCTTGTCCCTTCCTTCCATGCTAATATCGGAGGCTGGGCCCTAAAAGGTGACTGCAATGGACAACATTCACGGAAGTCATCCATAAGCTTTAACTCTGCTGAGGGTTGCTTATATTAAAAGCCAAACTCTTGACTTATGCCAAGAGCTCATAATTGTATAAACTGTCATTACTTTATGACAAAAAATATGAGTATGGATGGCTTGTTACAAAAGTAGTCACAACACCCAGCAAGGGACAGGTTAAGAACACAGTGGCACATGTATACAAGTGTACATGTGATGCAGGCACAGAACAGCACAGAGCAGGGTGGGGGAAATACACAGCCTTAGTCCTGTGCACAGAAACCACCTGCTAGATGGCAATTCTGGCTCTTCCAGGCACTCAAAATCGTAGCTTCCCTATTGCCAGTGATAGTCTTGCCCAGGTGCACACCCCCCAGACACAGCATGCCCGCGCTGCAGGCCCCAGACACAGCATGCCCGCGCTGCAGGCCCCAGACACAGCATGTCCACACTGCAGGCCCCAGACACAGAATGCCCACACTGCAGGCCCTGGAAACAGCATGCCCACACTGCAGGCCCCGGAAACAGCATGCCCACACTGCAGGCCCCGGAAACAGCATGCCCACGCTGCAGGCCCCGGAAACAGCATGCCCGCGCTGCAGGCCCCAGACACAGCATGCCCGCGCTGCAGGCCCCAGACACAGCATGCCCGCGCTGCAGGCCCCAGACACAGCATGCCCGCGCTGCAGGCCCCAGACACAGAATGCACACTCACACCCTGCTCACTCTAGCCTCCTCCACCCCACATGCCATAGGCGTCACTCACCACTTTGAGCTCCGGTACAGATCGGCTGAGTGTCCATTCCTGGCTGTTCACAAAAGCATCTGTAATAGAAGATGGAAAATGTGATGTGACATGCCACAACTCAAAGCCATCAAAACACCCCACATATGTCATTTTGGTGGGGAGGGAAGCGGTACTACAGACTGGTCATACCAGCCCCCTACACTACTCCTACGCTGGAGGCCACAACCCGCCCAAGTTCACACACTCTGGTCTCAAGACTGGGGTGTGTGATGCACACCCCAGCGATGCTGTAGCCTCTCAGGCTGTCCGTTCCTCTCCTGTTCAAGCTCTAGGCCTCCGTCATGTCCACAGCGGAGCTGATGCTGTTCATGGTTCTTGGCGCAATGGGGATACAGTGTGGCAGGAAGGAGCATGGCCTGCCTGGACCTGACCTTGTAGCAGGGCAGCTTTTCATCTTTTAAAATTATTTTACTACAAAAGTTACTTTTCTGAACACACACACACACACACACACACACACACACACACACACGATAGATGATAACTAGAACCAGTTGCGAGACTGCAGGGTACCAAGAGTCTCTTCTGGCTATTAGGATCCTCAGAGAGAAACTAGAGAGGTGATTCAGCGACGGTGGTTAGGGGAACGTCACAAAGACAAGGAGTCTCTCGGTCCCAGTCTGCCTCACACCTTAGATCCCAGCAGCCACTATCCATGGCTTTGCTCACATGACTGTCACTCTCCCAGTGTGCCATTCCCTGTCATAAATGACAGCCTGCAGGAGTTCCTACCACAATGCAGCCACAGGTTGCACGTCTCTTTCCAATGCAATGCACCATTGAGAGTGTTTCTCAGATGACTTCTGCTACATCTTAAGTTGCCCAAAATGCAAAGTCCCTGCCTGACAACACATCCAAAGTAAAACTGGTCATCGTTCTTGGGAGGGTGCATGGAACTTAGACCCAGCAGGTGTCAGGGCAGGAAGCAATGGCCTGCTGCTCCCCTGTAGATTGCTGGACAGGGTGGGGCATGTTCAGGTGAAAATACAGTCCACCTAACACCAAAGAGGCTACTGCTAATACTGGCCATATGCCACTGGTCCCGTAGTGACAGAGAAACCCTCATGTCTAAGGAGATGAGTCACCCAGAGGGAGGCCTCTGCTAAGGGAAACTAAATCAGGAAGAGCTGGGTGAACTTTCAGGGGCTACAGAAAATAAGACACATCCGTACAAAAGCACTGTGGCATTGTGTGGCATCTTTTTATTTGCAAATATATCCTCGCTCAAGTGTTATGTTCATTTTTGTGGCAGCTAGGTTAGTAAAATAATCGACTGAACTGGTGGGGAAAAAGAAAAACTATTAACAGCTTTCATTAATATATCTTTCTTTAAAAATGTCTGCCCAGTCTAGAGGGAAGGTTGCCACGCTGAAGACCAAAAGAAAAGTAATAGGTGCTTTAGTGAAAGACATTTGCACAGCAATCTTCTGCCACCTTCCTCTGTGTGGCTTTTCAGTGGCTGAGTCTTGTGCCGCAGAGAGCAATGAAAATGCAGGCTATGCAGCACCTACCTAGAAATTTCCTCAACCCAGCAGGGAGAGGGGACCTGGAGCGGACCATATCTCTGTCATACTCAGTATCTCCAGAGCAGCTACCTACTTCAAGGAACAACTCTGGCATGTCTGCACACTTCCCAGCCAAATGTCACAGATGTCTCTGGGCTTGGTTATTAGCATAGACTAGGCCGAAGACTCAGACCTCTAAAAGGAATAAAACTAGATGTGATGCATGCCCATAATCTCCATACTAGAGAGGTAGAACCGTAAAGATCGGAAGTTCAAGGTTATCCTAGGCTACACAGTGAATACAAAGCCAAACCTGGACCATACTGTCTCAATATTCATTAAAACAATGTCCAGAAGAAACTGGTATGCCCCACTCAACACTCCAATCCCTGAAATACAGGTTACATGAAGAAAACGCATTCACAGGCATCGGTTTAGATGAAGTGCCACTGGGCTGGAATTTAACAGTAGGCAGAGATTACCAGTGATGTGGGTTTCATTCCACTGAGCCTGACGGGTGTGGGCCAGGCTGCCTGGCTCCTGCTTGATACCACAGGTGTTCTCCACTGTGGTTAAGGACAAGAACCTATTTCATCATTCCTCACCATTAACCTACTACTAGACTTCAATTACTCCCCCCTCACCTTTTGAAGTTCAGTGTGTCCAATCCAGGGCCTCCTGCATGCTAGGCAAGGGCTCCAACACCAGGCTACATTCCCAGGACTTAACAGTCTTTATTCATTTCAACAAAAGAAAGTGGGGGCTGTGTCCTGGCCTCCCCCTTATAGTGACAGACTACTGGGACTCCAGGTTAGGCATGTAAAATGTGACATGAAGTTCCTTCACTGGAAAGGACCCACAATGGGCTCCAAAATTCATAAGGACACACCGTAACTGTAGCCTGAGCAGGCAAATGAGAAGCAGGAAGGCCACAGACTAGGCTTGAGGGGCTGAGCAGCTGGAAGGGCAGCTGTTGCCCCATGGAGGGCCGGTTTCAGCTTAGAGCACCGTGCAACCCCATGGGGGCCACCCACTTGAGAACCACCACAGTGCCATCGACCCCACAAATGCAGACAACAGCGTCCCTGGGCCTCTGCCTGGACCTCCTCCCCTAACCTCAGATACTGCTGGCTACCACATCAACTCCTAGAAAACTGAGGGGTGCGGAGGCCGAAGACACCCTGACACTTCCTTTACCACCGAGGCTGAGGATGCTAAGCTGGGTGTGACCAAAGCCATGACACAGGAAGATGATTTCCCAGTTCAGGCAGCCCCTGCCCCCATACAGCCCTGACCTACCCTACACCATGCCAGGCCAGGTGCAACTTCCTAGCCTGCCTGAAACATGGGCACAGCTTCCAGGATTCTGGAAGCTCACTCCCGCCTATCACTCACTCCCACACACCACCTGCCTACTCCAAAATTCCTATCTTCCTTTCAGGAGGCCTTGGGCTCATTCAGAGCAAAACCCCATTCCCTACTCTAAGGACCAGGACACCAGCAACTAGAGAAGGCAGAGCAGGAACAGGGCCACTAGTAGGCTGTGTCTCTGATGACACAAACTGGAAGCGCAGATCGGAAGAGCTTGAGCAATGACAATTTCGCTTGGTTCAACCCACAGCACGCAAGCATGGGCACACAGGAAAAAAAATCCCTGTGATCACAAGTATCTCAAAACAATCAAACATCCTCTGGTGAGCTGACCTCAACACCATGCTTAGGCAAAGCCCGGTGGAGAACAAGCAAGATGACTGACCGATGGATGAACTTGAACCCAGGCAGCCAGGACCCATGGAGCCCTCATCTATAGCCTGGAGGAACCTGGCTACAAATGGCTTGTTTCTAGGGAAGCCTTCAACTCCACAGCTCCACTGGGTGCCTTCCTGGGGTCTCCGAATCTTGAGCTAATGTCTTACCAACGTTCTTTATCACCCCCGAGTCCAAACTGCATCATTGGCTGGTGGACACAAGCCCAGCATAGCTAAGGCCCCAGGTGAGGTAATAGACTGCAGTCTGCAGGACCACAGTGGCTTCATGCTCCCTACCCCACCTTGTTTGGCTCCAGCCACAACTCACCAAGCTGCCACCAGGGTAAAAAAGGAAACTGAAATTGTAGGTAAGAGAAAAAACAAAACACTGTCTCAGGGACAGGAATGCTCTTAGAATCTTAAATTCCACAAAGATTTTCAGAAATGCACTCTGTTTAGCAACAGACATGAATTTTTTTTCAAACCTGAGAACATTTGCAAAGCGCTGAAATAGGAAAAGCAATAACAGAAAAGAGAACAAGTCTACCCAGAGACGGGGGGGGGGGGGGGCAGATCCCCGCCCTACCTAAGTCTTGCTGAGGAAGGATACAACATACTCTACAGAGGCGTAGAGCTCTGTGGCACAGTGCTTCGCACTCAAGGTAGCAATGTCTTACAAACCTGTGCGCAATAGCAAGACAGTTTCTTATCAAAACCCTCTGTTGCCAGTTGAGTAATCATGAATAAACTCGGTTCTCAGGGGCACTAGATGATTGCCAGGTTCCAGTTGCTCCTCATCGGCCCTAAAGATTCACAACCAAGACGGCTCCCTCCCCCACATCCCTGACACTCACCTCCCCCATTCATGAGACCTTTCCTTTGAAGAGCAACAAATGTCATGTCACCAAGACACCACCATGCCCACCTAACCCTACAGGTATGGCCACACCACAGCCTCAATCCTAAGCATCTTTCCCCTGAACCCTGATGTAGCTCAAAATTCCTCTCAGTAGAGACTGCATGCAAGAGTCCCCTTCTCTTCTCTTTGGAACAGTCTACAAGTCAAAAGGCACCAGCTGAAGCGGGATCTCAAGGACTCAATGAGGTGACTCAAGGGACACATGATTCCCTTTAGTGCGTTTTTCCCCATGGCGCCCTCGCTTACAAAGAACGGTGTTCTAGGAGCAGGACTGCCTAACGCCGCACGCATATCAGCAGTGGCTGGAGAACACAAGTCTGACAAGGAGAGTAGAAAATGTGAGGATGTGACATTGGAAAGGAGGAAAGAGCACTCTAAATGTGAACGCAGAAGCCAGAGCTCACAAGCTGAGAGGAGCCAGGGACAGCAACTACAGCTCCTGTGTGCTCGATACACCCATACTCCAATTTCCTTGAGAAAGACATGTGCCGGGTGAGAAGCTAAAGCCTGTGCCCTCATTCCATCAAATTTTCATCCGCTGCCATCACGCAGGTGATGAAGGCATTTACTGTGAGCATCTTCTCCAAGGCAGGCTACAAGATCCTCAGGGAGAAAAGACTACAGCTCCAGAAAGAACAAAGGACATCTCCATGCCCTCAAGGCCACCTGAGAGCTGGGATGTCTTATAACTGACCATCCCCAGGCCTCCTAAAGACCTGTTGCTACCCAGACACCTCTGACAAAAAGGACACCTCCCTGTTGCCCTGCTGTACACAGGCCTCATTTCCAGCCTTTGTTCCAAACCTGAACAGCATACAGGGATGCAAGGTATTTGAACACCTCAT